TAACAAGGTGATGATGAATATTCTAGGACAAACATAAAGGGCATTATTGAAATGGTAGATAGGAGAATTGGAAATGAGCTTTCTTTAATTAGGAACAAGAGTGGAATAACAAATGTGGAAGCAACATTTGGAGATACTAAAGATGAGACAATATGTTTTCATATGTTACTATTTGCTGATGGACCTGACGATTCATCGCATCATTGCAGAGGAACTTAGAGTGAATAATAGTTGACCATCTGGTTGCAAACTTTGACAGTCTTTGAAGATAGTAGTTCATAGAGAGCAAGGAGTAAAGAAAATAGTTTTACCAACTGTATCAAAGTTATATGGAAGTAAAGGGGTTGCCTACTAATGAAGATAATTACCTCTTCTTGATAAGAGATGAAGGCACAAAGCTACAGTGGATAATAAAAAATGCTTCTAGAGCAGAACAGCATAAAATTATATTCAATTCAGTTCCCATGCATTATTAACTCCCTCAAAATTAAAGCATTTCTTTTAGTTTTTGGTGAGGCAGAGGCATGTAATGGAAAGACCACAGGCTTTGAAGTCAGATAAACATGGATTCAAAATCCAGCTCCATCATCTACGAGTGTGTGATTCAGAGCAAATCTTTTAAGCAATCCTCATTTTGAAAATGAAGACATAGCTACCTATCTCACAGAGTTTTGAGTGGTTGGAAAAAGAGGAGTATATTCGATGACCACCACCGTGACTTGCATTCATTATTCCTTGAACAAATATCTGTTGAGTGCTACCATGTGTGAAGCACTGTGCTAGTGTCAGATTATACAAAGGTGACTGAAGACAGATTAACATCTCATAGGGGGAGGAGATACATTACATTACAGAAATAATGTAAAAATATGTAAAAATAACTATCATGGTAAGTGCTGCAACAGAAACAGTGTAGATAACATGACTATTTGATGTGCTCAGAGAGGTCATGGAGGAGGCATCTGAAAAGTGACAATCGAGCTGATATTAGAAGGAGGCACTGGAGTTCACTGGCTGAAGAAAAGTAAAAACAGAGCAACAAAGGTAAGTATCACACCCGACGACACTGGAGAGATAGGATAAGCTAGTGTAGGATGGAAAGGTCTTAAAGTATGTGCATAGGGACATAAATGAAATCAACCACTTTCCCCTTTCTATGCATTACTTCTATGATCTTCTTTGTCCGATCAACATGAAAACACTAACCAGAACTTCTCTGTGTTCCTTAAAATGTCCTTATCTAGTAATAAAGTAGTCTTAAAAGCATTGTGAGCTATCTCTCAAGGGTATTAACATATATAATGACACCCTTGTACAACCTGTAATGGGATAGAAATGGGACAGGAACAGGCATGATATCTGGGCAATGGGCAGGACCTAGACCACTGACGTTTAGATGCCAGAAACAGCACAGCACAGGCCCCTGGACTAACTCTTTCTCTGAAGACGGTGATTCTCTCCCATGTTCACACTCCCCCCCATACATACTCCCCCAGATTAAGATCCACTCTAACACTTGCTTTTGGCTTCTCACATGAAGGAAAGGGCAGAGATTCTCTTAAACCTCTGGATAAGTTAATCGTCCTAACTTATATATGTCAGAAGAATCTAGGTTATGTTAAACTAACAAAAACCCATAATGTTTTAAGACAACACACATTTGTTCCTTGCTCATTTTTCATCACTTTCATAGGTCAGCTGGGGAATCTGTTCCACATTATCTTCATTTTGGGGGGTAGGCTGAGGGAGTGACCACCAACTAATACGGAAATGCATGTCACAACCATACAGACCTCATTGGCTTAATCAAGTCACATGGCCATATCTGATTTCAAAGGAGCAGAGAAGTGCTATTCTATGATGTTTCTGGAATGAGGAGAACCAAAATATTAATAAATAACCATACTGACTGCATATATTTACTATCATTATGTATTCAAAGAACTAAAAATGACTTATTCATACCCACTTTCAGGGTTTCCTCTTATCCTGTATTGTGATTTCTTTACCATTTCTTTACTAACTCCAGGGAATTTATTAAACAACTTCCCCCTAATGGGGCGCCTGGGTGGCTCAGCCAGTTAAGTGTCTGCCTTTGGCTCAGGTCGTGATCCCAGAGTCCGGGGATCAAGCCCCATATCGGGCTCCCTGCTCAGTGGGGAGTCTCGTTCCCCCTCCCTCTTTGTCCCTCCCCCCAGCCCCCACTCATGCTCTCTCTCTTTCAAATAAATAAATAAATTCTTTTAAAAATATATTAAAAATAAATAAATAAATAAATAAATAAATAATTTCCAGCTCCTGATGTTTATTTTCAATGACTCTCCTACAACATACATATCATGTTCGCCTTCTCTTGCCTTATAAGTCTCTCCAAGCTACTGCTCCCTGGAACTGATAGACTGCAATCAAATCAACTTATTAGTCAAAGTAACATGTTACATTGATATAGAGAAATATTTAAAAGTTACTTTGACAAATAATTTTTCATTTAATATCACAACCAACTTGCAGGTCAATAGTGTACTCATTTGACAGGGAAAAAAGCTGAAATTCAGATAAGCATGGTGACTAGGCAGGCTGAAGTGCTAATAAGTGATAATGTCTAGATTTGAAGCTATGTCTAATAACAGGAAAGACACCCTTTCCATTGTACTACATATTCTCAAACCTGACACCTACTTTTCATTATGAAAATCTGTGTATATATAAACTGTTATTCTACAGATCACACAACAGAAAGCAAACAAAAGCTTAGGGGCTGATAAGTTGGTATGCACACTCCAGAGACTCTACTTCAAATTCATTAACTAAATGTAGGCACTCAGAGTCCCAGTGCATTAACCTTAATCAGACATTGCAGATAATAACTGACCCCACCCAAATCACAGGATATGGGAAGTATTGACATAAAATAATGGAGTCACATCTTCTAAGTAGTAAAAGGATTAAAATACAGTCATAGATAAAAGAAGTAAAATACCCTTTCAAAATGTAAATTACTTCTTCCATAGCAACAGTGATAATGTACTAATTCTAAGAGTCAAATAAATTATTCAAGGACACTGCCATTTAGTTTGTTTCTTGACTCCATAGGGAAAAAGTAATTATGTCTAGCCTAGCCAAGCCTATGATAACAGATGGCTAAGGGAACAAAAGTGAAGGTAATATCTTCAGAAATCTACCATGATGTTTCATATCTTAGTGAAAAATGTCTTTGGAAGGACCTTAGAATCAATCAGTCCAAGATTCTCATTTTACATCTACAGAAGTTCAGACCCAGAGAGGTTAAATACTTTTCTTGAGGTCACATAGTTTGTGGCAGTACTTAACTTAAAGACAGAAGGCATATTCCAACCATGAAAAGGCTGGGAAGAAAACCACCAATTACTTAGCATGTTCTTTGATGTTTTATTCACATTGTCTCACCTCATGCTCAAATGAGCACAATGAAAAAGGTATCATTTTCTCTTCTATTATAAGTATATCAGGAAGCCAAAGATAAAATAACTAGCCTGCATTCACATAGGAAAAGGCAGACCTGAGGCCGTCTTTTTTTTTTTTTTTTTTGGTCCCCAAAGATGGTGCTTTCTCCCACACCGAAAGCCCTGTGAGCATATGCACTCCCCTGCTAGTGTGGGTGTTCAAGTCTGGATGACGTTTTGCCAATGGTGCTATTTTAAGGGATTACTCCTTGTTTTAAAAGATTTTTGACTAAAATCTCTGCTAATACTATTATTCTGGGATGTTTGATTGATGTGTCTGTAACTTCTTGAGGGGCTGTCTTATTTGAGGGGTTGGTTAGATAATTGAAATAATTCAGGGGTCACTAAGATGATTGAAATTGTCTTCCTGGATTATTGTCCCAGGCCTATAGAATGCATCTAAATGCAGGGGCCTCCTATAGAGAAGTTTCCTGAAGACTGAAGGAGGGATTGTCTTACAGATTTGCAACGGATTCTCTTAGTGAGAAAAGAGTTGCCATTGTGCTTCTGGAAAGTGGATAATCAAGTCTCCCCGAAAGAACGAAAGAACGGGGCCTCTTCCACGTGGCCACATGCACCGTAACACACCATATCAATATGATTGGGGCTAGAAATAATACACAGTGCGAGAAAATGATACAACAGTCAACTAAATGACTGAACTACTCCTTTCTTAAGACTGCCCCTTGCCTCACTGCCGTCTTCTAAATACATGTTGGCTTTGTCTTTTATGTTTTAAAGGATGTGCTGTCTGTTCTAGATCTACATTAACCCCAACAACTGGGGGCACAGGTAAATGGGGAGAACCACCCAGGCAGTCCTGGTGACTGACAGCAAAGAACAGCAGCTTGCCCAACACAGGCTTGATTACATTTCTGATTCAGTCCCTAGACCTCACTGCATTTTTGGAGAGGTTTTTTCAACATGCCAGAGACTACAAGCTACCACCCATACCCACAACCTAAATACCACCTCCACCAGGAGAATATCCAACTAAAGGATTAGAGGAATTCAGCCTGGGCATGCCTATTTTTCCCCCATTATACATATATTTTTGTTGAGATATAATTAAAAATTTTTCTTCTCTAGCTTTACTGAGATACAGTTATCACACAACATTGTACAAGTGTAAAGTGTACAATGTGTTGATTTGATATATTTATATATCAAAAAATGATTACCACCATGGCATTAGCAAACACCTCCATCCTGTCACATGATTGTTTGTTTTTGTGATATAATATAATGTTACAGTTCTGTATCTTTGGATGAATTTATACATCCAGGTTACTGCCATCCTAATTATGATGTGAAACATCCCCATCCCAGTAAGTTTGTTTAGCACCTCTTTCTGCTGAATTCCACCACACATGCACTTTTGTGTCTTTTTTCTTTCACAGAGCATGTTTTTGAAATACAACCATGTTGTGTAGATCTTGTGTCTGTCTCTTGTATGGGAATTATTGCAAATCATTACAATATGTGACCTTTTGTGTCTAGTTTCTCTCATTAAGTTCTTTATGGAGATGAAAAACCGAAAAAACTAGCAGTGAAGCTTATGGAAAGAATTTGAGATTTCATAATAGGACAAAGGGAGTAGATGTTAGGATCTTGGTAGCAGCCAAAATGGATTATTTTGTGGCCAACAGAATGGTCTGGGAGAGCCTTAAAATTGGGGCATATGCTGAGTTGGAAGGAAGGTTTTAGATGATCTGTATAAACCAGGGAAGCAGGGTAGGCACCATCAGGGGGTGCTGGAGGTGCATCCATGTCTCTTGGAAGAGCTGGTCTTGACTTCCACCCCAGCTAATTGCTGTTGTTTGGCCTTTTTTTTTTTTTTTAAGATTTTATTTATTTATTTGAGAGAGACAGAGATAGTGACAGAGGGCACAAGTGGGGAGGAGAGGGAGAAGTGGGCTCCCTGCTCATGGGGCTCGATCCCAGGACCCCGGGATCATGACCTGAGCCAAAGGCAGATGATTAACCAACTGAGCCACCCAGGTCCCCCATGTTGTTGTTTGGCTTTCTTGAGCTTTGCTCTATCGTTCTTGAACCAAACCTGCAGTACTGTGGGATGTATCTCCAGTTTTGAGGCCATTTCTTTCTGAAAGCTGGGAGCGGGGTGTGGGTTCTTGCTGAACAAGAATTCCAAATCTGCCAATTGTTTCTCAGTGAAGATTGTTCGTTTCCTTCGTGAATGCTTCTGGTGCTTTCTTTTAGGAAGGTCTCCTGCACCTGACATCCTGAGATCTAGATGTGTTCACATGTTCTGGTCCTGTGTCAAGCCTGGGCATGCCTTCTGAATGAAAACCTTATTTACAGCATTCCAGATCTCATTCAGGCACATTCTGAGAATAAATAATGGCTACAAAGCATATGCAGCTATCCAAAGGCTGTTCCCAAGAGCAGCCTTAATGCTAGGGTTGCCTACAGAGATCAGTCTTTCACTGTCAAGAAGAGACAAGACCCAATCTATAGTCAACATAAATATTTCACTCTCTCTCCCCACCCCACCCATTTGCCATCCCTTGGTACTGATGCCCAATCAGAACCCAGTTCAGATCTCTCAACTGCATTCTTGGAAGGAAAAACAGAAGTTCAATCAGTGTCTGGCACTTTGTCACTGCTTGCAGTGAACTAGGAAGAAAAAGACTAGGGAAAGGTGGTAAGTCAGGCAGTATAACCAGAGACCTATTATAGTAAGCAAGAAGCACCTGGACCCTCCCGAGGTCCAAATCAAGTTTCCACTGTACTCAACTAAGCTTTGCAATCCATGTTAAATATGTGAAACAGTGAAAAAGATTTTAAAACTCTTAGTGTAATTTTTTTTTGTAAATTAGATACTTGATGGGCTCAAAAAGTAGTAATCTTACACTTGCACAATGCTTTATAATATGCGAAGATTTTTCATTCCTTCCTTGAATCCTTTCAGATAGGAAAAACAGGTGTTATTTTATTTCAAAAATAAGAAATGAAAGACCATAGAGATTATGGGAAATGTTTCAGGTCACACAGGAAGTAAATTTTGAAGCATTCAATAAATGCCTTTTTTTATTTCCTCTCACCCCCTCTTCCCCTGTCAAGGTATATTTCAATTACAAAGTAGCCATGAGCTGTGTTTTTCCTTTTGTTTCTTTTGACTGTTTTTGGAGATACTTATATTGATCTGCAAGTTTAATAAGAAGCTCTGTAATTATTTTCTCCCCTCGTACTTGTCCAAAAGGAAAAGTAGTTTATATTTCTGTTTAATTCTGTGGGTGGTCTCATTCTTAAGAAAGTCAAATACAGTGTGTTTGAAGTCCTGACACTTTTTTAAAAGCCGGGGATGTTTTTGTTGTTGTATTTGAAAAGCTGACTCTGACATTTTAGCTATAGAAAAAAAATGTTGATAAATCTGTTACGTTTGTCACCTTACCAAAACCAAGGAAGGTAGGAAATGGAACAGCTGGTAGATATTCCAAATTGAGACTGTCAGACAAAATGAGTATGAAGAGAAATCTGTTGATGTTGAGGCTTTTGATCTGACCCCCCCAGGCAGTGGTGGCTCTGGCAGAGAATCACTCCCGAGTACCACTTTCAGGTAAAAGCTCTAGTAAGTGCCCACATCCAAAACGCTTGGAGGATTGAAAGGACTTTTCTCCAAAAGAAGTTTCTTTTCCATCTGAAATGCCTACTCTGAATTAATGATTAAAATCTCTATGTTATGGAATTAAATTCAGTGGAAGAGAGAGCACATCTTTATTATGTTCTCTACTCAAGTTAGCAGTTGCAAAAACAGGAACCAAAATGATGGATCAAAAGCGGTCACTTCATGGTATTTATATGTTGCATTTTAAACTCGATTTCACATAGCTTTGACAAATATAACTTGAGAAAAGACTATTCTTGGGTTAAAAAAAGAAAGCCAAACAGTGACTGGTTGGGGAGTTGATGGGAATTATGGGAAAACAATAAAATTTTCACTTAATATTTATCCCCACAGAGCAGATACATGAAAAAATATCTTATCAAATATGATGAGTTCAATTTCCTCTGTTATTTTTTTTCTCCAAATCAATTAACTATTCTGCTCAAATGATAATATGTTTTCTTCCAAGAGTATTCAATTTTTTATTTTCATACTTAAATGCATTTTTAAAATTTGCTCAAGTGTCCTAAAGGAGACCATTAACTTGATAAATTGATTTATGGTCTCTTCATATTTTGTAGGTTTTTGTTCTGTTTTTTCATATAGAGGCACATGAACACTAAGAAGCTATTTACCAAGTTAGGTTTCTCAATGTATTTTAGGATATCATTTCCTCCTTAGATAAATGTGCTGAATTGCTTAGCATTGCTTCAGAAAGCACACAAAGCAATTTGAAAAATATGCAAATATTGTGTTGGGCTTTTTTTTTAACAGTGAAGAATAAAATGTGTCCTACTTGAGCATATTGCCCTTTTTACTTTTGAGGAAAAAAAATCCCAGATCCATATAAATAACAGTATCATTGAAAACTTCCAAAGGAAAAAAAAAAAGTTATTTCCAGTCAATCTTCAATGGAAACCACTGGAGAATTTTCCAATAAAACAGTCATAGCAATCAGAATAGCTACAGCTCTTTTTTTTTTTTTTTTGGTTATATTAAAAATATTTAAATGACTGTAGGCAGTTATAAACAATAATTCCCTCAGATATCTCTCGTCCTCCTGTTGATTCTTCCTTCCAAAGAAGCAGGTAGATCAAATATAACTGCCTAAGGAAGTATGTGACTAAAATAAGTACTTTTTATATTTCGAACTCAGGTTTTTACTTTTGAGTACATGTTTCTTAACTTCTGCTGGTTTATATTATCCTTATGGTTCAAATTCCCCCAGCCCCTATCTCCAATAAGATGGTTACACACGTACATATTTTCAGATCTTTATCTTCTCAACCCTTATGAAGAGATATAATACCTTGAGTCCACAACTAAAAGGGTGGGGGGAAGGGAGGATGTACTTTCTTCTCCAGAAGAGACATTAAAGAATTAAGACCTAGGAAAGACTGATCTCTAATATCAACATATAAACCTTGCTTTTGTCATGCGTTTTCTACCTGCATGGTGTCACAGCAAAAACGGTAACAGAAAAAGGTAAACAGACCAAGAAGACTTTATTCAAGGCTATTGAAATAAACTAGAGAAGCCAGAAATAAGTCTGAACTCAAGCCCACAAAGGGTTTTTAAAGGCTGGAGTGAGAGGGACAGCATAGGCCATCTGTGTTTGCTAACTGGCTTCACCCAAAGAAAAAAGAAACTTCTTTTATACTTTGGACAGAAGATAATGTTACCAGCTTGGAGCAAGACACCCACAAAAGTTAGGCTCCCACCCTCCAACAGAGACAGGCAGATGAGAACGCTATCTCATTGATGACATTTTAAAGAAATGTTTCCCAGGTCCTTGAGAAAGATATTCCTGGGATATAAAACTGGCAAGAAGCTTTTTAAAAGACATTATCTTGAAGGGGCAGAGAAAACATTTACAATTAGGTTTCTAAAGTAAAAATTCTAAGAAAAGTGAGTTTAGGACCCTAAAATCAGAAAGAAGCCTATCTAAAGTTCAGTCAAATTAAGGGACAAAATAAGATCCTCTTGATCAATAATTATAGATATGTATATCTAGATACAGATGGCACGAAGTGGCTTATAAATTCAACCTTCTTTACTTAGGCACAAATTTTACCTTGCTCTTATCCAAGAGAGAAGAAATACAGTTTACAACACATCTTTCCTGCGGATCATCCTTAGCAGGAATAAGAACAAGGAGTTCTTAAGAATTATAAATAGCAACAGCTTCTAAAAATTTATATTCAAAGTATCATTTAAAAAAATATATTTCAAATCACCATTCTAAAGACCGGCACCATGGTTACTGTCACAGACTGTAGAATTAGATTTCCTGGGTTCAAATATCAACTCAACTATTTGGTAATTAAATGATCAGCAATTACTGTGCCTCAGATTTCTTTTCTTTATAATTTATTTTATTTATACGTATTTTTTTGAGAGAGAGAGAGAGAGAATGGTGGGAGGAGGGGGAGAGGGAAAGAGAGAATCTTAAGTAAGCTCCATGACCAGCACAGAGCCCAACGCAGGGGTCGATCCCACGACCCTGAGATCATGACCTGAGCTGAAATCAAGAGTGGGACACAGAACTGTCTGAGCCACCCAGGTGCTCCTCTGTACCTCACATTTCTAAGTAAACTGAATAACAATAATAATTCATCACTGGATAACCAGTAGGGTTGAGTTTATAAACGTAAAGTACACAGAACAGTGCTTCGTATATAATAAGTATGAGAATGACCTTTCTTTATCCTAGTCAAAGAAGATTTGCTACTAGTATTGCATAGCAGAGCCCTTCTCATCTTTTGCACTACAGAATTCTGAATCAGCTTTTTTCAGGATGGTGAACAATATCTTCAATCCTTTTTTTCTTACTCTCACTAGGTGTCATTGTATTTATTCATACATCTGTAGGATAGATCATCTTATAAATTCATAAATATCCCTGAACTGAGTTCAGCATACTGGACAACAAAACCATAACTACTGGAATAATAAAAATAAGTCTCATGTTGTTGACATGAAATCTAGAATAATAGCAATGGGTGGGTTTTGGAAGCGCATGATACCAACAATTCATCATAGACTTAGCCTCACAAGACATCCCAAAAGTCCTGAGTAGATTCCTGCCAAAGAAATTCATGACGCCTCCTGCTTTTCCTTAATTATTTCCTAAGCTTCTGGCATGAATGAAAAAATAATATAGAGTAGAAAACACTACAACTTTTAGAGTTGGAATCCTAGTTCTTTTAATTTCTACCTATGTGATCTGAGCAAGTTAATTAACTTTTTTGAACGTTAGTTTGATCATATCTGTTTTTAATTTTTTTTTAAAGATTTTATTTATTTATTTGACAGAGAGAGACACAGCTAGAGAGGGAACACAAGCAGGGGGAGCAGGAGAGGGAGAAGCAGGCTTCCCCATGGAGCAGGGAGCCCGATGCAGGGCTCGATCCCAGGATCCTGGGATCATGACCTGAGCCGAAGGCAGACGCTTAATGACTGAGCCACACAGGCCCCCCTGTTTTTAATTTTTTAAGAATTTAAAAATAGTAATATATTTTAAGACATTTAGCTAATGGTACTAAATGCTTCCTCTTCTGGTGCCGTTTTCCCCTCCCCTTGCATCTTTATGAAACTCGCTAAAACAAGCTCAT